CTTGCAAATTGATCCATGTAACTTCTATTTAATGTTAATTATGTTGCCAATATCCAACTGCGACTAGCTCTGCACTGCAGCTGACAAATCACGATTCATGGATAGGAACTAATAGTGTTTTCTTTGAAAGTTAATGATGCAGAGACATTTTTCAAATTTTCTTATGATGGGATTTTCTTATCAGAAGAGTTATCCCAGTAACTCCAGAGACCTTTCGGCCAGCCATTGCAGTACTTCTTCTGTTGGCGTAGACTGGCAGCCCGTTTACTTGAGTGATTCCACATTACAAACAGAAGTTCTACATTACAAACTCTGGAGTTTTAACGATGTTGGATTTTACTGGCAGTGGGGCTCTAACAAACTAATGCTGTTGGGTTGCATTAAGGGAATTGTAGCTGTTTGACACGTTGAGTCATACTGCTACCGACTAACAGTCAGGATATGTCAGGGTCAGTTTTGACCATTCTTTCAAAGAGGCCAGGATCTTCTTCGTGGCATTGGCAGGTAGTGACAACAACAAATATTTACTAATTCTTACAGGAAATGACATTTCTGGGCCCAGTACACACACCACAGTTAAGGGTGTTATTGTGAGAAGTCTTAGCAGTGACAATGAATGCCTGAGGGGAATCCAGGAAAGGCGAGACTGTCGCAGGTGAGTGGTTGGGGTGAGGATCCAGAGGAGCATCACACTTGAAGTTTGGTGACTCTAAGGGTGGCATGTGGCTGTGCAGGTGGCTGACTGACTTTATAGAGACTGAGGAGATTGTGCACACTGCCTGACCTGTAAGTTGCAAGATGGAGCTTGATTGCGGTGACTGGAGATTGGAGTTGACTGAAAGTAAAAACACACAAAGTTACAAGCAAAGTTTTGCCAACGAAGCAGCAACGAGCAGGCAGAACAATCTGCAAAGGAGTAGATGGATGAGTCAGAGCGTAAACTGTAACTGGATGATCTCAGGTGTATCAGGTGATTACACACTTAGGCATAGACACACATGATACAAATACACAGAAAAGACAAGACTAGAGAAAAAAGGGAGAGGAGAAAACTATGTCAACATAAGTAAAATGGAAAAGAATAAAAATACTATTGCATACACGTTATTATTGCAGGTGTTAAATTCCACAAACATAATCCTCTGGTTGACTTTTCAAAAGGTGAAATTGTGGCAGATTTGCAGACAAACAGGTTTATAATTGAGCAAACTTAAGTTTAGTAACAACTTCATGAATTAAAGATGATGTTTCCACATTTTCATTTACAAACTTGTTTGTTTTTCACTTTTTCAACACATCCAAGCAGCAGCTTGGAGTGACAACTGATGGTACGTGTCAACAGGAGTGTTTTGGATGTGAAGGGTTGCACCGTTTCCCAGAATAGGAGGCTTGATGGGCATATGGCTGGACAGATGATTGACAAGTGTTCTCCTTTACTTAAACAGGAAATCAATACGAGCTACACCCTCCTACAACAAACACTGGTTGCATCTGATTGGACGTAAACTTCACTTGTGGGCTTTCTGCTCCCGGATTTCAAATCCGATCATCACAGCAGCTAACTTGGAAACGTCCTCTTATATTACAAACACAGTTTGTCGAAATATGCTGAGCTGTGCACCTGCTAAATCTGTCATCATTTTAGATTTTAGTTAATATGTTTTTTTTAACAGCTTCCATCCCTGATTTGCATCAAGTATAAAGACCTCAGCTTTGTGAAAATGAGGAGTGGTCAGCATGATGCCCTGCCCCTTGAAATGCAATATGGCGCTACTAAATTGCATTGCACGGCTGCTTTCATAGACAATTAAAGCAAAAGTGAGAATAACAGATCTTGTGAACACTCTGACACTGATTCTCCAGGTTTACATCTCATGAGAAAAACTTTAGAAGTTTGAAACCAGCCACTGACTTCTGTTGTCTCACATCTCTCTGTCTCTTTGTTTTTTCCTGTCACAATGACACTGTCCCAACAATAACAGCATAAAATACACCCAAAAAACTATAACAAAATAAATATACAATTCTGAAAATATCTTCAGATTTACTCATGTCAGTGTCAGACCACAAGCTGCCCCTGGAGTGCCAGCAGTACGAGATGCCACAGTCTTGACTTACAGTAACTTGTATTCAGTGGCACTCCTCTGGCAGCTAGTGGTCAAATGGTCTGACTCACCAGATGTAAATTACAGGTATAAGCCCGTATTTGGTCGCACATTTCACATAACTTTTTTCCAACCTTTCCACTATCTTTTTATAACTGTTTTCAAAACCCCCCTCACTACAGGGAACAACAACTTCCGCTGTAGCTAATGATCTCATTGAAAATTTCAAGTTTTACAGACGAGTCGTACAGCAAGACAGCCCTGAATTTATTTTTTTTTTCAGTAAATTAGTCATTTTAATGATAGTTTTCATCTCCTTCTATGCAAATGTTCTACCAAGACAACTCCTCCCTACTTTGTTTTGAGGGGAAACTGCTCCTACATAGCTCACTGAGCTCCATCCAATATGGTGTCATGATGCAATAGGTTTAAAGAAATACAAAAAAAAAGCCACAGCATTTTTTTCTTCTATAGCGGAGTGATAATGAGGTGCAGCCAAATGATTCTGTGCTGCACAATTAGTGGTAAGTAAGAAGTAATTATTTCAATCAGTCACAATACTAAAAACTGACAGATGAGGTAAATAACACTGGTCATCTCATGCACTGTTGCTGCTGGGAAACCTTGTTGCAGACCAAGCACACCTAAACAACGACAACTGTAGGACAGTGCACCCAATCACAACTCAAATGCTGCTCAGGATTGTCTTGAGAAATACAACAAAGAGTTTCAGGTGTTGACTCAGCCTCCAAATACCCCAGCTCCCAATCTGATTGAGCATCCGTGGAACTTCCCACACAGTGGAATGATCCTCGCAAGCATTTCCCAACTCCATAACTCAAAAGATCTTGGTGCCTTATACTACAGAACATCTTCAGAGGTCTGTAGAGACTAGGCCTCGATGGGTCAGAACTGCCTTGGCAGCACAAGGAGGACTCATTCATTCATTTTTTTGCTCTTTATTTTGTACTTTATTCTATATGGCACTGAAGGAGCTGTTCTCAATCTCATTGTACATGTGTATAGTGACAATAAAGGCATTCTATTCTATTCTATTATTACACAAAATTATGCAGGTGATTTTATTGCTGTGGCTGATCCATGTATATAAATGGAGACTTTGCTAGTGCCTGGATCTCTACACGCCTCTCAATGGGTGATAATTATTTACCGCTCAGCCGGGCGCTCTCTGAGACATTGTCCCGGCAGCAGTGTGAGTTTGTCCTGTGTGGTTTGGAGAGACTGTTTGTGTCCATGTCATCTAATGATGGCAGGGAAACAGCCTGGGCTGACCTGAGGTCTCCACTGTTGTCCAGACGACGTAGTGAAGTTGTTGCCATTATTGGATTTGTCCTCAAAGGATGTCGCTGATGCGTATCCTCCACTGTGCTTCTCTCTCCTCCCTGGCCTCCGCGGGGACTCCCACATCCAGCACAGTCAACACAGCAGCCTGGCTCTGTCTGTCTCACCATTGATTCACTGTCCTCCTCTGCCCCCACCCTCTTCCTCTCCCCCTGCTGCTTTCTAAGCACTGTCACAGTTAACCAGCTGCATTCACCTGAAGCAGCCTGTCAGCACACTGTGTGTGCACAGGACTTAAAGCTTCACCTTACTCCCATATGGAATCCTGCCTCACTGAGCACAAACCCACCAGAGCCCAGATTTACCCTTTGGATCACCTGTCAAGAATTCAGAAAAAAGTATAGCTGCCAAATGCATTTTATTTGAAATAATCGGGGAAACGCATGGTGAGATGCTACAGGAAAGCAATCAGCTGGTCATTTGATGAGCATGATTAGGACAGAGTTCAGGTGATGTACTCATCTGTCATGAAGTTAGCTACCTAAACTGAGTTTTCATTTCAAATTTCTGCTTTTTGAATGTAGTTTCTCCTTTCGGAAGAAAAGAACAACAAAAACATCACAGTATATGCGCTGTCTAATGGGGAAAAAACGTGTCCCAGACACGAAACATAATTCCAATTGAAATGTATTGGTTTGGATTTCATGCTGGGGAACACGAAAAAGTCAGGCAAATCGTGTTCCAGGACACAAAACAATAGATTACGTTTTGTGACTATTTCACGAATCGCCATGAGACTGGGTTGTTGGTCAATATTGCACCTATTCTCCACTGCAGAGCAGCTAGTCATTAACAAATTGGATTTTTTGTGTTCACTATCTTGAGGGACGCAACTAAACCGTCCAATAACATTGCAAAACATTCATTCAGTCAACATCTGTGTTGTAAATTACACTAGTTCAACTTAATCTGGGGAAGATTAATCAATGCTTCATACAACAAACCAAAAAAAACCCATAACACGACACTTACACTCTGTCCAACTTGCAAAAACACATTAAATGGCATTTCAGTGCTAGACCTTCATTAGGCAAATAGTTGTGATTCCTTTGAACGGATTGTGTGGTGTAAACAAAGTTAGAATCTAGTCTTAACACTTAAGCTATCTGCCCAGGACACCAGGAGAATTACATTATAAAAATGATCCTCCCTTGCATCGGTAACACACCAGTAGATGGCCTTTAGGTGTGATAGAAACCCAGGAACACTGATCTAGTTGGCAGCTTAAATCAGTTATCATCTGTTCCAAGGTTGTGTGTGTGTGTGTGTGTGTATGTTTGTGTGTGACTTAATAATTTCTGTCTAGCTTGTTTTCAGGTTCTCTGTCCTCTCTTGATAATTGATCATTTCTCTGAGGGCAGAGTGTAGGATCATTACATTTTCTGTCAGTTTAGTGATTAGTATTGATTGTTTGGCCTAGGAGGTCACAAAAACACAACCTCATGTTGTACGTTACGGTTATATTTACTTTACCACAACATCCTGATCTGTGATTGGTGAACTGACTGTGTGTCCTCCTCTGTTCGCTTGCAGCAGAGGACGTTTGCAGCCAGCCCGTTCTCCGAGCCCCTCATGGTGAAGCTCAGCGGGGTGATCCGACAGCCTCAGGAGGACCCGGAGATGCTGTGGGTGATGGGTCCAGTGTTGGCTGTCATCCTCATCATCATCATAGTCATCGCTATTTTACTCTTCAAGAGGTGAGTCTGGCACACAAAACAGCCCACATTGTCATAACAGACACTTTCTGTTTTTGGAGTGAAGCTTCCAAGAGGTGAATCGGATCAGGTTCAGACAAAAGAAATAAAAAACATATAATCTACATTTTATTTACAGTTCCCTGTAAAACCCAAAGTACACCGCTGTGCTATTTGCATAGCTGTTGGTACTCATGAGACACATCCCTGGGAAGCTGAGATGATTTGATCGATGCAAACCTTGTCAAGACACAATCACAACAGCAAATACAATCAACACCTCTGTCAGACCTCCAACTAACAAGCAAGGAAAACATTTACAAAATGGAGGTAACTCACCTATGAAACCTTATAGTTATCCACAAATGAACAACATCCCAATCAAAACAGTGTTGTTACATTTATAAAGGTCCAGTCAATCCAATCAATTAAATATTTAGTCCAGAACACGTTAATACATCCATAAATGCCCCTGGGCTGCTGTTGTGTCATTTCAAATTGCCCTCACATTCTCCAGCATAGCTCCAGTTTAACATTTCTTATATCTGTATTTCAAAGTGGTGGCTGCAGTCTACCATTTCAATGGTGCTTCATTTGAGCCAGTAGGAGCTTCTATGTCCTGTCCACCAAGTTTAAACAAACCCTAACCCTAACCCTAAATTAAATTTTGCATTTGTGTTTACATAGTCTTTTCCAGCCTATATGTCCCAACTGTTCTCATCTGCAGGCATCTTATTGCAAAAAATAAAACTCCTCTGAAAAAAAAACAAAAAAACAAAACTTGTTTAAAATGTTCTTATTCAATAGCTCTTACAGTAATTTTGCCTGCTGGGTAAAGGAGACTAAGATCAATGCATGTACTCCAAATACGTAACAGCTTTGAGTTAACTTTGTGTATACCTTGGAGCCCCAGGCTTTTTCCAGGGTGATATCACTACCTTTACTTTTAAGCTCTTATCTTGGAAATTATAAGGTCTAGCCATACATGCTGCACTTTTTTTTTCAGAACAGTCTATAATTCTATCATTTGATATGATAATATTTGCAGATCTTAAATATTAGCCATCATATCAATGAAAAAAATTTTTGTGTTGTAAATATGTCATGTTTTTACGTGCATCACCCCGTAAAATGCTCAGTAGACAAACATCTTTATAATTGTAGAGGGAAGATAGTGGGACACTGTGAGACAGGTATGCAGGTGAGCAATTCAATCAAGAAGAATATAAATTTCAACTTGGACACAAAACGCGTTTGTCGGGCTCTAAGGGTTAAACAGATACAAATGAAACATATCCCACCTCTCAAACTGTATCACTGACATTCGATAAAAGATTAATATCAACCCTTTATATCAAAATATTTATATCTAGTCCACATTCTAGAAAGCTATCAGCTGTAAAATATTTGTACTGCCCCGCTGTCTGAAAGAGAGTACACAAATGATCCCTTCTGTGTCATCTGTTACACAAAGAGTTTCAGTGAACCTCGAAGGCAGTGTATGTTCATTGTGTTCCTTCACTTATGGTCCAGCTGAGCGACCATTTTAGCACAGTCCAGAGAGAGACCCGAAGCACAACAGATGATGACAACATTTTACAAGCACCAAGAAATAGTGAAAGTGGAGGTCTTTCTCGATTAGAGATAGACATTTGTTGTGGCGTAGCCGGCCTGAAGACAAAGGTCCTCCGTGGCATATGGAAGGGAGGCGCTGGGAGTTGCCTCACGGCCCTGCACTTCGAGGCGAACAGTTGGCTTGTGCTTCCTGTACTTGGGTCAAACATCTGGAGCTACTGGCTGGGCTGAAGAGGGCTTCCATATGGCTGCTGCTCTGCTCAAAAGGCAACACTTGTTCTGTCGTTTTTCTCATCCCTCCTTTGCTCCAGTTCTCTCTCAGAGGGTTTGAATATTTTTGGGGGATAATTGTAATTTTTGTTATATTTTAATTCATTCGAGGGAAGTTTTAAGTGTGCCCATGCAACTATTGACATTATACTCTTCGTTCCAGCTAGCATCTGTTAGCTCCAGACAGCTTCTATTATCTCCTGATGGCTACTGTTAGCTCCAGTTACCATCTTTGAGCTCCAGAAGGCTTATATTAGCCCGCAATGGCTCCTGTTAGCTCCTGATATTTCCAATATTAGGCTTATTAGGCTGTTAGTTTCAGATATATATCTCCTGATTGCTCCTGTTATCTCAAGTCAACTGGTTATCTCCTGATGGCTCCTGTTCATTCCTATTAACTTCTGTTAGCTCCAGTGGGCACATATTCACTTTAGACAACCTCTGTTAGCTCCTGATGGCTCGTATTAGCTTTTGTTAGCTTGAATTAGTTATCATCCATCCCAAGATTTATATGTCTGTTTTTACACATAATTCTAAATTCTAAATTTTCCATAGATTTCTAACCACTACTAGATACCTATCATACAATAGTATAGTTAGTAACTAGTGAAATTTCTATTCTACACCACTGTCCAGCATGCTGCTAAACATATAATACATCATTACTGTCGCTTGTTGAGAGTGTTTTTCCTGTCTTCAAGGCAGCCATGTATATCAGTGCACTATGGAAATAAGCTTTCAGACCTTGAAACTTCCGTGAGTTGGGTGATCCATCATAGGGAATATACAGTTATGTTTTCATCAAAGTTCATACCAAAGTCTGTTTCTGTATGCTGAGTGAGCGCTGACACAAGACCAAACTTTGTTGAGAGAAAACCAAACCCAGAGGGCACAATAAGTAAGAACCGATGTGATGGAAAGAAAAACAACTCATTCAGTGTATTAAGATCTTGTAATAAATGAAGCTAGGGGACAATTCATTTTGGAGTAGATTATTAAATGGCTTCATTTGTCTGTGGAAATGAATAATTTTCTCAACCCATGAAGGAGTATTTATGTAAAAACATTTTACTAATTTTGAGATATGTGTGTTTTTTTCCAGAAGAACAACAGTATGGTTTTGATCAGTCAAGATAATCTTAAACTCTAATGTACTGGTTTCTGACACAGTAGTCATCTCTCCAATCCAATGTTACATGGACTGTATTTCTTCAACCTGAAATGACTGAAATCATTTTCATCAACTCTCATTAGAATGATCAACTTAACTGTTTACACAGACGCTAAATATAAATGCTCTCATAAGATGTGTCTTTTTGTGCTCCAAAGGCATCAGAGTGTAACTTTTTTTGACATTGTTAAGTAATTCTGCTAGAAGAAGATGAAGAAAGAAAGAAAGTGTTATTTATGCATAGAAGGAAGTGACCAGGATGCACCCACAGTGTGTCCTGTGAAGTATTTTTGCATTTCTGCTGTTCTCTCTGATTAGAAGCATTCTCAGCAGCACAAACTTCTGTGATGACTTGTGGAAGAGAGTTGTTTTCCCAGAATTTACCGACCAGGAGTGAAACATGTGGCAAACATAGACAGAAAGATTATATTTCATATTCCAACCAGGAAGAAACAATTAGATTTGACCAGTCTGGTCCAATTAGGGGGTTGCAGGAGTGCTCTAATTAGTCTATTATAGTGATTATTAATGGAATATTAGAGTCCATGTAAACACAGCTAGTAACAGAAGACAACATCTGCATTCTTTGTTTCTGCAAAAATATTCAGCTAAAACCAATTTGAGTCGTGAGCAGTCAGATTTAGACAAATGAGTCAGTGTTTATTTGGCACAAATGGCCAAAACAGTATATTCGCTCTAGAATTAAATGTGTGCATGTCCATGTGTAATAAGGGCAAATACAGAGTGATTTTGTCTGAGGGATTTAAAAACAAAGATGTGCCACAGGCGAAGAATGTAGTTCTTAAAAGACCATAACTTTGCATAATACCCATTTGAGTTGTCTAACTCAGACCATTGAAGCCTCACGTTAACTTAAGCTGGATTTCAAAATGCATTTTCACATTCAAAAAGGACAGAGGATTTTGTTCTGTCACCACGGTGTTTTGGCTAGGGAGAGATTTCTCCACACCCAGTACAGGCAAGAGGAATATTTTTACACAACATAATATGGAGTACCTGTCAGATGTTTGGACACACCTGTACATTGAAGGGTTGGTTTCTACTTTCACTGTTTTCTACAGTGTAGAACAAAACTGAGGACATCCAAACTTTGAAATAACACACATGAATTTATAAGTCCTGCTTTCCTGAACATTACATAACAATTCTAAAGCCATTGCATAATTTTCTAATTATGGTATAGTGAATAAACAGTCACAAAATCTGGTGCGGTCCAATAGTTAAGTGGATAGGTCAGATACCATGTGGGCATATTTGCCCTGAGCAGCGAGCATCCGGGTGAAATCCCAGGTGACCCGTCCATTTGCTGCATGTCACTCCCCTGTTCGCTCTCTCCATATTTCCTGTCGCTGTCCTCTTTTCCTATTTTAGTTAAGAATAAAAAAATGACATAATCTGTCAGTAAACAGTATCAATCAAAACTTTATTGTCATTGCACATCTCACAGAACAACAAAAGTTACTTTACAGTTACATCCCATCCAATAGTTGTAAAACTTTAAATTACTTTTATCATAGAATACGTACATTTCCGGACTGCCTTGCCAGACTGTAGTTTACTGACACTGAACCTCTGGAGTGGCTTTAAAAATATTTAAAGACATGTACATAAAATAACTGTAAAACACTAAAAAAAAAAAAACATCTTGCGTTTCAGAATAGCACAGACCTTTTCTGTGTTTAACGAAGACAGTTGTTCCTCTCACTGGTTTCTGGGTCTCTAGGGAAAGTATAATTAAGCTGCTATGTGTAAGGGGTTGTTTTCATTATAGGTAATGGGTACCTAAAGAGTAACTACATCCAATTTTGTGAGTTAACAAAGCATATGTCTTTTTCTGATATTGTACACTTAAATCTTGGAAACACAGAAACAGAAGTTAACTGTCAGTATTCTTCCACTGCTCCAGTGATGCAAGAAAGCTGTTACATATCATATCTGGCGGTTATCCAGGATTTATAGAACTGGAGTTACATAATTTTGAAGTTTGCATTTGAGGAGAGATTAGAAGCAAAGGGATTTGCAGCGATCGAAGACTAATAATATGGCACAGAAGTAGACAGCTTGGTTGATTAAAAGATAAGATGACACTTTGGTGACCCGGAGTCGACGACATTTGGGTTTAACAGCAGCAGAAAGACACACAATACACTAAAACTAAAAGACTTTTTTTTTTTAAAGGAAAATCCAAAAGAATAAGTAAAACAATGAATATAACAATGAATTTAAGAAAATAAAAGCAAACTAATAAATGAGCAACAACCGTATGTACGTGGTGCAAAGTTGTGTGATGGGGAGAGCAGCTAAATCATTAAAAATATCTATTCAAACCAATTTAATTCAACATTTTGTTTCCTTTTTTAATATTCATAGAACTACAATTGTGTCATGTTGCACAAAAGACATTTTTGAGTCCTCTCTACTTTAGCCATGATTGTGCTGTTTCCATAGAGATGCATGGATTCATATTGCAGTGAAACATTAGCATTGGGAACGTACAGATCCTTGGGGTGCCTCAGGTTTGCCCGTTACCACATCTGACAAACTGCCCTGCAGCTGGATGAACCGCAAATGAAAAACTTGAAATGCATATAAGGTGTTGTTGGCAGCTCTTTACCTTACTGTATTAAGTGCCTTGAGATGACATATCTTGTGAATTGGCGTTCTACAAATATGATTGAATTAAACTAAATATGCTGCAAGGTGGCACAGTTGGAAGCACTGTTGCTTCGCAGCAAGAAGGTTGCTGGTTCGCATCCCGGTGGGGGCACCGGAATCTTTCTGCGTGGAGTTTGCATGTTCTCCCCATGCAGCGTGGGTTCTCTCCAGGTTCTCCGGCTTCCTCCCACACAGTCCAAAAAAATGCTGAGGTTAATTGGTGATTCTAAATTGTCCGTAGGTGTGAATGTGAGTGTGCTTGGTTGTCTGTCTCTAAGTGTAGCCCTGCGATAGACTGGCGACCTGTCCAGGGTGTCCCCTGCCTTCGCCCTAAGTCGACTAGGATAGACTCCAGCGCCCCCGCGACCCTAGTGAGGATTAAGTGGTGTATAGATAATGGATGGATGGATAAACTAAATATGGACTGGACAAGGGAACCACTAGTTTCAGTCAAGCATTGCCACTCAATGGGAATGGGCTCCATTTTATACCTAAATGCTTTTTTAGAACATGTGATAGAGGCATGTGCACAAAGCAGGAAATCACAGGGTGCACTCAAAAGAGAACAACAACCTATTTGTGCCCCCGGACCTGTTGTGGCCCCAATAACACCCTTCACTCTATGTTCATGCCACATTTTACTATCAGCAAGGTTGGTAGATGTGAGGTTATGTAGCGTTTGCTGACATTAGTATTTCTTACTGACCAGACAACTAAATTACACGATACAGATTGAGTGTGAAACCAGCTTTCGACTCAGGTGAGACTTGTGATGCCAAGTTCATTCCAGGTCACTGCGTTTCTCTTTAAAAGTGTTTTAATAAGACTGTGTCCTGTCATTTGATGATGGGAAGTGTATTTGAAGAACAGGGCAGCAGTGAAAGATGATCGTGAGAGAAGCGTGATCAGATAAAGAGCAGCATAGTAAGTCAGGTGCTGTTACGAGCTCTGTCAGGTCCACTTGTCGTTCACTGCAACACTGTGTGGTATTCCTGCTGCTGACACCTTGTAAATTAATCTTTTCTCTCTCTTCTCCCTGGTTCACTGTCTTCCTGCTTTCTGTGGACACAGCAAACAAGAAAGGTTAGTGCTTCTGTGTTTTCTTGCACATCAACCATCCATCCGCCGACCCCCAGCCTGCCTTCCCTCGTGCTGTGTAAAGCTTTTTGGGTCAGACATGTTTTCTGACAGTGATGATGTGAAGTGACAGATACTAGTTTCTGTAACACTTTCAAAATCACACCTCCCTGCCAGCTGCTCTGTGCTGTCTTGTAGGCTCACAGCATTGTTTTCATACACATCAACTTCAATTGATAGACGCAAGTGCGTCGGTGTGTGTGTGTTTGCGCGCAACTCCATTTTCACATGTTTGTTTCTCTGTGTTTTTTTTTTTTTTCTTTTTACTCTTCAGCTCTGAGTGTTGAGTTCTGAATCCTGCTGATCTTCCCCCCAACAATAATCCTCCCTCAGTGCTTGCTTCACCTCCCAACCCCTCACACACCCGCAGCTTCGCCTGCAAAATAAATGGCAGACCTGAAAAATCCAATCCTGATATCACCTGCAGGCAACAACTGACATCACAACAACCTTTTCACTTCTGTTTGTGTTACCTGCCTGACCTGCATATTACATATTGAATGTTCTCATCACTAATACATACAGAATCAGTCACCTGGATTTTTATTTCTTATTTACTTTTGCAGGGTGAGGTGGCGAAAGGTTTGAATATTTAGAAAACTAATTTCCATATAAAGCCCCAACTTGTTTATACCTATGTCAAATTGTGATTTATGCTGAATTTTTATTTAGCCAGAAGGTTTCTTTGGGCTACAATGAAAAAAAGTGACAAAAGACAGTAAGACAACGTGTTTGAGATGTCAATGAGCAATTTGAATTATTACCACATTATAAAAAAAATTTTCTGTCCAGAATTTTTTCAACTTCACCTCAGTAGTCAATGGCAACACCTTTATTTGCCACCACAACAATTAGACAATTTTTACACTTTCTTGCAAGCTTCTTGCCTGTCTCAACTGGGATTTTGGACCACTTCTCTTTTGTGATGACCTGCAGGTGTTTGAGGTTGGAAGGCTTCCTTGCCATGACTCTGGCCTTTGCTTCTCTCCTCAGATTCTCAATGAGATTCAGGTCTGACTTCTGGCTGGATCACTCAAAAATGCCGATATTCCTCTCTGTTAACCATTTCTTGACCACTGCATGTTTCCGATCACTGTCTTGTTGAAAGGTCGAACGCTGCCCAAGGCCAGGTTTTTCTTGCTGACTTTCTGACGTTTTCCTCCAGAATCTTAATATAGTCCTCTCAAGAAGTCAGGTACTTTGACAACGTTGTCCTGCCCATCGGCTGAAAAACACCTCCAGAGCATCACATTCTCACAGCCATGTTTGATCGTAAGGGTGGTGCTCTTGGGGTTGAATTCTTAGCATTTTCATCAAACCAAAGCCACATCCCAGTGTCCAAACAACTCAGTTTTCTTCTAATTAGACCACAGAACCCATGACCAAAAGCTTTCTTCTTTACCTAGGTGAGCCTTGTTCAGTGTCTGTTGTAGTATCTGTCTAGACATTATCAGTTTTAAGATGATGGTACCAGAACCAGTCAGGACAGCCTTGGTGGTGATCCATTCTTGCCATTTCAGGAGGCACTTTTCGCTTCCTGCCACATCCCTTCGTCACGGGGGCGGGGGGGACGACACAGACACAGGCAGACAGGTGGATATAACAAAAGGGGTTTATTAAAAGATTTACAAAAAACGATACAGAGGGAAGTGACTAAACGGGGGGAACACAACGGGGAAAACCAGAACAAATATCAAATATACAACAGGGCAAAACTACAAAAAAAAACCTACAAAACAAAGAACAGAGGGGAAATTCTAAGATACAAAACAAAGCTGCTCAAACAAACGGGGATACTCACAGAAAATTGACAAAAACAGAGGCGGCAGACAGGCTTGAATAATCCAGGCTGGAACCGGTAGCAGGAGAAAGCAGGCTGGGGGAATGTAGGAGAGGGACAGAGAGCGAGAGACAGACAGAGAGAGAGAGAGAGAGGAGGGAGAAGAGAGGGAGAAAGGCAAGGGCTGGGACAGAGACTGGGAGGTCATGTCACCTTTGAGGTCCTCCACAGCATGGAACTTTTTGTTAGTGCATTGCTCTGTGGCCACTGGTACTTGGGAATACTTGAGTATGTCTTCCAGCCAGAATGTGCATTTTTCTTGTAGTGATAAGCAATAACAGCAATCTCACTAAGCTCCTTGGTTTTAGCCATAACTAGCAATTAATAGTCACCGAGTAAAGATCTACTACATCAATTGTTCTCATTTTATAGTGTATTAGAACACTCTTGAACATGGTATAATTCACAAGCACAATTCTAAATGGCTTAGAAACTGCATTTTTTTTTTTTTTTTAAATTTGCTTCTTTTTTTTCCCAACTACTTCGAAATAGTAAAAATTCTACATTGGCATCTATAACACAATGTCGTAACGTCTTTTGTCATTTATTTATGTAATTTTAATCCAGAAGAAACCAATTGGTCAAATAAGAACTCATCACAAAGCCAAAATTGGCATGGGTATGAATAGTTTTGGATGGAACTACTTGGTTTAAATATTGTATGAATATTGTATAAAATGCACAGCCAAAATCTGCAGCATGTCTTCTGTATACTCAAGCCTTTAAGTCTATTATTGATTTCACAAAATTGTAAGGAATAGTCTTTGGAGCTTCACATATTCTCTTTTCTGTGTACATGTGTCTCTGTTGTAGTCGAGCTATAGTCAAGATGTGGTTAGCCTAGCGTAGCATAAAGACTGCAGGCATGGGGGAACCGTCAACCTGGGTCTGGCCACAGTTCAACTCCTCCAAAGCTCACTAATTAACAGGTTGTATCTTTTCTGTTTATCTCTATACAAGAAGAAATGGAGTTCAACAGTTTGTGGTTGAACTTAAAGCTATGTACTGGAAATCATTTTACGAATAGAGATTAATATGCATCTTCACATCTCACAAAAAAAGAATGAATAAACTGCTCAAGTCCAGCAGCACAAACCGCAGCCAAGCTATAATTAACTAAATGATTTACAGACCTGGCGTCCTATTATCAGTAAATAGGCACAATACTGGTCAGTACTGCAGTCAGTATAGAAAAATGCACTCGTACGTATCCAAAACATGCCTGTTGGGGTTCCCTAAAATTTGTAACTATTTCACAAACTGCTGTGAAACTATGTTGGTATGTTTATAACTACACTAATAACTCAGGTAGAACAATATAATATGATTATTCACTATCCATTTTTTTTATTATATTATTTTTTTAAATAAATGCCATTTACCATAAACCCTGGATATGTTGAAACATCACAAAAAGACAAGTCTCTGAGCAGTTATAGATGCTTTTAGACAGTATTAATTACAATTAGAAAGAGAAAAATAACTTAAGAAGCAGCTGAGTTTTGTGAAAATGGGACCAAGTTGCATTGACTGAAGTGTCCGCACTGTTGGTTGTTTAAATTTCCATGGGAGCTGTAGTTTTTTCTGTGCTCACAAAGTAAACCCAACTTAAACCCCAAGAACAAGAATTGCTCAGTTAGAGAGTGCACTGAGTTGCTCACATAGAGGCTGTACCCCTGAGGTGATGTCATGACTTTTACTCTGGATGTAATAAAGCTGGTCAACAATGTTTTGTCCTCGCTCCAGGAACTTAAGGTAGAAGTAACCCAAAATGAACAGTGTGCTTGTTCGTAGCAGAGTATTAGATCCCACTCTGTTCCACCATCATTAGCCTTTACTGTCTGTCTTGGCTGCTTCACCAGCTGCTTAGGTTTTCACACAGTCATATGAGCAAAATTTTAATAAGCCCAAATATGAACTCCGCATTTTAAATTCTGCTGTGGAAACACTCAAGAGGCCTCTAGACATTAAAGAGGAGTGGCAGTGTGCTCCAACAAACTGTGAAATTCACTGCTTTCCATGACTTACACTGATTTCACTCTAGATGGGAGATCTCTCATCAGGGGGGATAAAAGGCTTTCTGCTTTACAGGAAGCTACAGGAACTATAACAACAGTACTTCAGCCTCAGTGATGCAGCAGACACAGGATTGGGTGCTAACCAACATCTGCTGTAGTGCGTAATCACTGTTCATAGCATATTATCAAGAAAAACCTTGATTTTAAAAAGCTTGTAAATACATGTGAAATAATGGTAGAAGGTCACCCAGATTTTTTATTTGCCACTGAATTATTTATTGTCAACATTATTGTATTGTCCCTCTTTTAAAACCAAACAGTTTTTGACTGTTTGGTCAATCCATCTCATGTGTCCATGCTTTCCAAAAGTGCTTTTAAATTTTAAGCATCTTTAGGCATAAATCATTTTACACCAACACCAATGTGGATTCAGCGAAACTCACTCTGCACATCAGCTGGTGCACATCATGAATACTTATGTAGAGAATTTTAAAAATCCTGTTTCTGGAATTATCAGACACTTTCCATGCTTTGCATATTTTTTTAATGAGTAGTTTTATTAGATAGAGACTGTAGATAAAAGAACAACTAATGTTATCACTAATCGGAAACTATTTATAGATTAAATGGATACACATATGATATGGCTGTTACTTTAACTTTATACTGTTCTGTAAAAAAGTTACCATGTGTGCAGTCACTTCAAAAACTGTTCAGACTCCTTTACTTTTGCATTAGTTGTTTGTTTTATGTATAAAATTAGCCTTTCTTTCCAATCAATTTGCATTGAATAAATGATGACAAAGTAGCAGCATGTTTTTAAAAAGTTTCACAAATGTATTAAAAATCCAAAATTTAAAATGTCTCATTTACAAGAGTAATCAGAGTTTTTTTTTTTCTGTGATGCGAGACTGTTGTCAGCTGCATCCTGATTACCTGAATTATTCTTGTGATGTGTCTCGACTGCAATTGGACTCCACCTATGGCAAGCTAAATAGACTGGACAGAGTTTACTAAGGCTCACACCTGTGTATATTGCACAGTTTGCACTTCATGCCAGAACAAAAAACAAACCCTGAAGTCCAGCAACTCTGAAAACACTGTGATAAAACTGTGAGGAGGCATAGATCAGGATAAAAGTATAAACCATTTCTAAAACTCTGAGCATTCCCAGAAGTGCAGTGGCCTCAGTAACTAGAATGGAAGAAGTTTGGAACCACAAGGATCGAGCAACGATGCAAGAAGGTCCTCAATCAGGGAGGAGACCAAGAACCCAACAGCCACTCTCATAGAGCTTCAGAAATCCTCTGTAGAGATGGAGCACTTGCTGGAAGACCAGTCATCTCAGCAACTCTCCATCAGTAAGGCTTTTATGGCAGAGCAGCTGGTTAAAGCCACTCTGAATAAAAGACACATGGCAGCCTGTTCCAAATGAACCCTGAAACTCCCTTGGTTAAAAAGGGTGACAGAGACAGTGAAACACTTCAGCTCTAACTCATGCTTTCTGCATCCATGTTCGCACGTAAAAGTAAAGAATCTGCAAACTCTAGACGCTAACCACTTCAGTTACAACGCTTTCAGTGTCCAATTGTAAAGGTGTGGATGATGAAAAATTCCCTTGCTCATTCTTGCCACATATTAAATAATTAGTTTTCGTTACAGTATTTTTCCTGACATGAGCAGAGTAGGTGCACTTGCAGTGCAGACAGTCCACTCAGTCACACATTTTGGTCTGGACGCAAACATCTGCATAGGGGATCGTCATCCACCCAAACAGGGGTCAGCAAGGACACAATTCACATGGAAAGCATGACGTGGCAGACTTGGTTTTTAACTGTGTGTAGCGGTCCTGGATTAAGGGTGTGTTGTTTTATGCTGTCCTACAATAATTCAGAAACAGATGACAGAGCCTTTCTGTCACTGATCCTGAGTAAAGAACTTTATTGTTTATTCTTTATAGTACAGCTTCTTCTGTCGGGTTTTGCTCCTCTGTTTAACCGTCACCTATTGTACTTTCTTCTTAAATCTACTTACAAAATAAACACAGATATAACAGTTAGCAGTAGTAAGCTTGTCGCACAAAGGAGAATTTCTCCCTGTTACAAGATATTCTAATCATGTTTTGTCACCATGGGAGATCTGCACTTGTTGCAGATTATCACCTGCTGTCTGCCCCAGTCTGGACTGATAAAATGCTTTTCATTATTTTCCATTTTGTGTCAGAGAAAATTTAATTTTAAAAATTTCACCTGCTCTAATTTGGTTGTGTGGCTACTTTATTGTTTGTTCCACCAGAAAACGAACATCACCAGCCAAGGACGAGCACATGGCGGGGGTGAAGGACTCCCTGCTGGCCCACTCCTCAGACCCTGTAGAGATGAGGAGGCTCAACTATCAGACACAAGGCATGGGCACACACACACACACACACACACACACACACACACACTATCCCCAAGAATAATACGCTCATATTCACTCATACAGATCTTTACATACAAACATGCAGTCAAACTTAAAAAGTGAACTCTTGCTGAGTTCCAAATTTTCTCTCTGTTGTATCCTGAATGTGCAGTTTGTGTCTCTTACAGTGCTGAAAGGTATCTGCTTAGGTGTCTGTCACATATTTTACCAGGAATTCTTAAAGTTATTGCAATTCAACTGCAGAGGGAAGGTTTCATTTGCATCAGAATCACATAGATTTGGAAATCCCATTTTTTGCTATCCAGTATCAGGTAATCCATGTTACTTTTGTGTCATTTTTATATTGGATCACCCTAATCCAGATACACAATTATGAAACTTGGATAACATCTAAATGGGACTACATATAACAATGTAAGCTTATAAGCTGAGGGGGAAAAAACAACAGGTAGACCCACCAGCATGGAGTCACTTTAAGTGAACAGTAGAACAATACAAACATCCTCTTCCATTTTCAATTTATTTTAAACTGTGTGGTCCACAACAAATTCATATATATGTATATGTGTGCTTTAAATCATAAGAAGGCAAAAGGTTCATTATTAAACTAAATAAAGATTTCCTCATTTGTGAAGAAACCAGCTTTTAAACTGTAATTTTATGAGGCACTATGGCACAAAAATCTCTGTTTGTTTGATATTGACAGCTGTTTTACTACATTTTGTTCCTAAATCCAGCCTTCTGCTGGGATCAGAATAAGTTTTGGAATCACATGTGTTACAATCCTGCTAAAATGTTTTGTCAACACACATCAAAACCAAGACTGGATTATATGATATTTTTTGTTTTGAATAACCCCTTTTCAAGATTTGGTCCAATGTATTAGCCAACATGTAATTAAATTGCTTCTGAGCAACTGTCCCAAGAAATTCATTTGAAACAGGTTCCTGTTGTGTTGCAATGGTACAAGATGCGCAAGTAAATGTCCCATTCAGTTCCACCACAGACAATGACTCACATTTGGAGCTCCTGTACAGCTTTGACCAGCCTGAAACTCTCACAGTTTATCTTTATGAAACGTCTTAGAGATACACTACTGGCAATGACATAGTTTTGTCATACCATTAAGATTTTAGGTTATTTTGCTTCCATACATCCATAGATGTTTATGCAATCAAGTGCATATTTAAAGACTTAATGTCCAATTAGCACACTAACTTAATTATTAGGGAATTGTGAGCAATTTGCAAGGGAAGTTTTTTTTTTTTGTTTTTTTTTTAACTTAATTCATCTTTGGTGCCTTCTCTTAAGTGCATTAGAAAATATCTGCTACTGTGTTAGATTATCAAAGGTACAAGCATGTGGACATCAACCGCAATGCCCAAGATGCATTTCAAGAAAGCTAAAAAGAAAACACTACATAAGCATATATATCACAACATTAACCAGGAGACCCTGTGTTTCTGTGCTCAGTAACAATAAAGATGTTGTTTATAAAAAATATATATGGTAATGCAGAACTAGGAGAAGCATGCAAAGTATAGTTTATCATGTTTTGTTTTGGTGCTGATACTAATATGCAAACAAATGTGCATTGTACTAAATTCACCATGTAAACTATTAGAGCACAGGTAGTTTCAGACCCTCTCCCCGAGCTTTTTATTTGGCCTTTAAGACTTGCTCATAAATTAAATGCCAGCTTTCATTTGAGAATTTACTGAGACCACCCACTGCTACACATTTGGTGTTGATTTATAGTGCCAAGAAAAACTGTTCTTTTTCATAGTCACATTTCATTCAGTTTCAGCTTTCAAGTGGAAAAAATTTGTAAATAATAAGAACATCTATTCAGTACACACACTGTCAGATGCTTGGCAGCTGTCCTGTTTCATTTGAAAGAAACTTAAAACATTTTAGCTGGCAAAAACTAAGACAAATGACCAACTTTTAGAGTGCAATTATGGTCCTGTAGTGAAGTCCAATGTTTTGTTTATCTGTCCATCAACCCTGACCTCCTACTGAGGTCTTATTGGCCCAATAACATCACCCGATTCTCTCTTTTGCTCCCTTTATAGTTTCTGTTTATAATGAACCCTGCAACCTGTTCCTTTTTTTATAAGCCGATAACTTTATTTCTCTGCCTTAGTGTCTCCTCGTGTCCTCATTCACTCTCCTGTCTGACTGCTTCACTTATTGTTACTTTCTCATCTGTTCTACACCTTCCACCGACTTGTCTTATCTCCGTCTCCCACCTGTCTTTCAGTGGGAGGTTTTAAGCTCAAAGCGTGTCGTTGTTTTTTGTCCGTGTTCTTCTCACTTGAGATGGGTGGCATTTACCTGTGGTAGCAGTAGGAGGGATTTTGGCAGATGTTGTTTACACCAACATAAATTCATCAACTCCTCTGACTGCCAACCTTTGCACACTGGGTGGCCTCGAAGTTATTCATAACAAAGCGCACAAAAAACTGACAGATAATATCAGGACGCAAAGTAAAAACTATGCACCTACGTGAATATTTACATTTTATACTTCTTTATTCTATAATTAAGGCAAATTGTAAGCGCTACAATATTTATTTGTCAGTTGTGGTAATTACTGATTGGCTGCTTATGTTAATTAAGTAGAATTTCCAGCTATTTGTCAAATGATACTCAAAGACAACACCCACCCAGCTACAACCTGTTCGCCCTTTATCTGTCTTACGAGCGATACAGATGTTCCCCCAGACTTGTTCTTTCCTCAGGCTGTGAGATTACTGAAAACATCCTCCACACTTCACCACAAAAAGAGTTTTATTTTTATTATTTGATTATTTATTCCATAAATAAGTTGTCTTCTTCAGAGTAGTTTAAAAGGATTGCATCTGTACTTTTGCTATGCAATCTTGTGTTGCATAATAATTAAACTTAATCTTGAATCTTGAAAAAGTGAACGACCAGGATGCACTCATAAGTCTCAGTGCAAGGTGATGCATGAAAGACTGTATGACCATCATTGTAGAGATCAGGAAGGTTGACAAAGAGTTGACCTTGTGTTTCTGCCCTGTGTCAGGTGTGTTCAGGTATGCTTAGGCTCTTGCTTTGTATGTTCGAGGACCCTGCCTCACATTGAAGTCCAGGATTTTGTCATTTTGGAACTATTTTAAACCTCTGAATCCCAAAACCCACCAGCAGGTACAAGAGACATTTAATCTTTCGTTTTTTTTGTTTTGTTGTTTTTGTTATTTATTTATTTATTTTTTAACTTATCAGAGGTAGAAACTTTAACAAATAAAAAAAGAAAAGAAAAGAAAGAATCAGTGGATTTTCAACTTTCTGAAAGCCATTGAATTACTCGTGTGTAATGTGCAGTTCTATCTGGAAAATTGACCAAATATAAGCTTAAAATTGTCTTTTTTTTTTAAAAAATTATTTTTTTTTGTCATTTTATTCTAAATGTCACGGTCAAAATTTATCAAAAATAATGCATTTGCACTAGATCCTGTAAAAAGAAATAACAGCACAACCTGGAAGCCATGACTGACTCAGCTGCAACCAACAGTCACGTCAAAATTCTGAGTTTTCAGATGAATTGCAGGCTGTGTTTACACAAAGCAGAGAGGAGAAGTCAAGAGAGAGACTGAGAGGACAATAAAACATACTTGAAACACTGGAAGCATAGTGAAATATTTTTCCAGAGCTGATGTGCAGAGTAGTGTGAAAAACAACTAGTTTGTTGGGGTTGTAAAAGAATAATTAAACATCTATGACATGTGGAGCCACCATTTATTTTCGTATGGGTAACACCTACGGGCGCTTGGAAAAATGTTGTACATGCTGTTTTGTTTTTGTTTTGCTTTTTTCAATTTTTGCAAAACAAAAAATCAAAGAAATCTAACATTAGTTGGGTTTTTTTTCCCTATAATTCATAGCATTATTGCTGTGCTATACTGCAAAAAAGATATTTTGTAATTTCCCTCCTCTTCTAGCCATGGTTGTGCTGTTTCCATAGACGTGCAGGATTTTATATTGCAATGAAAAATGATGCCACAGTGAGTAAAAATTTGACAAGAGCAACAAAATGCCTAGAAAGTACTTTGGGTTCAGAGAGTTTAATATAAGAGCAGAGCAGACTCTCAGTTCCTCTCTCAGTGCTCCCTGTGTTCTCTTGTCCTAACTGACCCCTGTGCTCTTGGTTTTGCCTCGTCTTTCCCCCACAGGTTCCAGTGCCCTCAGTTGCCCGAACACCCCAAGTTAGTTTTCACTCCTCTTGTGTTTTACTAATGTGTCCTTCCATTCTTGCCTCATCTCTTTTCTGTTGTACATTGCTGCCATTTGATATGAAGCCCTCCTATTTCACACCATCACCCTTTCTTCTCATGTTCTGTCCATGTCAGCCATTTAGACCAAATGGTTATTATTCAAACTGAATGCAAGATGTAATGCAGTAGTGAGACCACATAAAGTATATAGATGCAAATATCAGCGTAAGAAGCTGTATTCTTACACCCCAGCCACCTGTGTAACACCTTCCCACTCACCTGTTGCTTCCTGGGATTTCTTTAACCAATCAGCATGCTGGTTGATGCTCATCGCCACTGTGGTTATTATACGCTGTTGAAGAGCTGCACAGCCAGACATCATCCCTCTGCTCGGCACACAGCACTCTCACTGTCACCCCATATCACTGTGAGCAGTTAGCACTGAGCCTTCAACATGCATCTGCACTCTGGTTACATTGTCCAGTCCATGTGTGTTTGTGTGGATGTGCATGTGTTAGATGGACTGTACTTATCACTTCACCTGTGTCTGCAGGGATGAGGGAACATCCTCCCATTGCTATTTGTGATCTGGCTGACCACACAGAGAGACTCAAGGCCAACGACGGTCTGCACTTCTCCCAGGAGTATGAGGTAAATCTTTGCGCTCTACTTTCAAGTGAAGAAATACACACTTTCCCTCTCTTTCAAAGTCCTTTGGCAACAATGCATGAGATATTTTTCATGAAAAAACATCTAAAAGTAAAGAGCCGATTCCTGTAGTGTTTAAAAGTTTGAGAACTGAGCTGTTCTGGTCTGAAACACATCACTGAATTTCTGTTGGGATTATGTCAGATTATCCTCTGATAGATGCAATTTTACTAATCCTGTGTTGTTGTTTTTATAGTTGTCTGTACTGTAACATGCAGGAGTTGAGAAAGCTCAAAATAATAAGACAGCAAGCCAGCCTGGGTTTGTCTTTATTCATTCAGAATTAGGTACAACTAGACAGTTTCAAATAAATGTTGCAAGAAGCGCTAATCATGATATGGAGCAGAAAGCAAATGAAAATCACTCTGATGTTGTAAAATGCTTTTTCAATCAATCACACAGCTGATATTTCCAACTCAAAATAAAACAGCATATGGCCTTTCCTGTTGACCTACAGATTTCTTTTTCCTGTCATTTAGTGATGCTATTTGTTTCACTCAGGCCAGGGTAAACATACATTTACTCAAGCACATCTGGAAAATCAGCTTTTCATTTTCTCACGCTCAGTACATTTCCCAGTGCGCTTTTTTTCCCTGAGATGTTTCTACTCATGTATAGAGCTGGCTTACCATTGCAGAGTTAAAGTTCACATTGGTAAAAAGGATGCTGCTAAGTATGCATGAATTCTCAGCCTCCTTTCCAAGAATAATATTCCACTGCTTTTACCTACTGTAAGAGCCAGTGAGGGATTATGGCTTGTTGATGTCCTACAAAGGAAGGTAATTTGCATTTAAAGTGGTGAATTTCCAAGCGGATAAACCAGGACAGATGGGTGCACTGTTTATGCACAGCAGAAAGAAGGGGGCATATAAATTATGAAACAGCAACTGAAGCAACTTTTTTACCTTCCCCATTTTTTTTCTCTCCCAGTATGGTGAAACAGAGAGAACGTTTTGGAGACAAGTTGTTGTATTTGCTAAACAAGATAACGTTCAGTTGAGATAAGAATGTGTTGGTGGGAATTAACTTTGATTCAAACATGAGCAGCTGCTTAAAGTATGTTTACAGATGAGTGTGTAGATGAAGCAAGGATAAATGTTTGGATTTGGGATTCGATAATAATGAGGCCACATCTCCAGCTATAATTTGTGTTTACTTGTACAAATGATATTTTAATATCTGATTCTGGTAATACGAGATGTGATCAAAAAATTCTGATACTGTTCCTGTTGGACTCAAACACAGGTCATGTACATGCAACAGGTGCGAGCAGTAACTCTTGTGAGTTAGGACTGCATGTCCAGACCAGTGTTAGATGCAATGTTGTGACCACTTGCCGATGGGCAATTGTGATTTTACCATGGACCTGCAGAAGCAGCACCATTTCAAAGCCTGTAACAGCCCCAAGATAAGCCAATCTTCATATGTAGGGTCATCACTGGTGAGAGGTGGGTCTGCGGCTATGACCCAGAGACCAAACAGCAATTGCCAGTGCAAGAGCCACAGTCTCTCAGACTAAAAAGTCTAAAAAGTCAGGAGTGCACCCAAAGTGGGAAACCACCACCAGAATTGGGGAAAATATTTGGAGTACACAACATGAACTGTGGTACGATGGCATGTGCGTTCTTCATCAATATAATGTGTCTGCTGACAGCACGTTAAAAAAGCATACATTTTTATATCACACCAACACAGGGGTTGCACTTTTTCCAAAGTGGAAGACATCACATGCTTTGCAGATGGTGCTTGATGCACTTAAGTCATGATTATAGCCCCTTGTGAATGCACTCACAGACAGTTGTGGTCACCATGGACATGTAGCATGCATGTTATTATTATTTGTATTTTCATTTATTTAACCAGGTGGGTTAATTGAGAACCAATTCTCATTTACAATAACGACCTGGCCAAGAGGCAGCACAGAACAGAAAATACAATGATAGGAATACATCCATTAAAAAAAAAACAATACACAAACAAAACAACAATAAAAGGCCTGAAGATAAAATACACTAAAAGCAGGTATAGGACTCAGTAAGTAGTGCCTTCACCATATTTTTAAAAGATGACAAAGGTATAAAAAAGCTGAGTTTGAGTGTTTTCTGTAACTGGTTCCAGTTGAGAGCTGCAGAAAACTGAAATGAATAGCGGCCAAAAATAGTGCGGGCTTTGGGGAAGAGGAGGTGGATGAGGTTGCTGTTGCGAAGTGAGCAGCTGATGTGACGCGTGATGAGTAGTGAAAGTAGATATGCCGGAGTTTGACCTGTAATAGTTTTATAAATGAACAAATACCAATGAGTTTGCCTGCGGGAGTGAAGAGAGGGCCAGTTAACTAGGCTGTACAGAGTGCAGTGGTGAGTCATGAAGGGGGCACCAGTGACAAAACGGATGGCAGTGTGGTAGATAGTGTCCAGTTTATGAAGGAGGGATTTGGATGTGGATCTATAAAGTATGTCGCCGTAGTCAATCGTCAGTAGTACAATCATTTTGACCAGGAGGTGTTTAGCAGGGTGTGTAAATGAGGATTTATTACGATGGAGAAAACCAATTCTTTTTTTGACTTTGGTGAACAGAGAGTTGATGTGGGTTTCAAAAGAGAAGGAGGGGTTGAGCCAGTTACCTAAATATTTGTAGCTATTGACGAATTTGATTATCCATTCAAGGAGATGATGTTATTTGGGGACTGGATCTGTGGGAGGTTTCTATTGAAAACCATACATTTTGTCTTTCATGTGGTTAGTGATAAAAGAAGGTCAGACAAGGCATGCTGGATGTTGTTGAATGTGGTTTGCAGATTGGAAAATGCATAATTGAGGGAGGAGCTATATGTACAAACAATGGTATCATCGGTGTACAGATGAATGTGGGAGTTGTCTACAGCATGGGTTATGTTGTTGATGTAAATATTGAATAGTGTTGGACCCAGTATGGAACCTTGGGGGACACCTTTGTGAAGAGGTAGTGGGACCGAGAGAAGATCCTCCATTCTTATCGACTGTAAGCACCCAGAACAGTAGCTACTGAACCAGGAGATACAGATTTCAGAGAGACCAATATGTCTTAGTCTTTCGAACAAGATGGGGTGGTCAACAGAATCAAACGCTTTAGACAGATCAGCAAAGACAGCAGCACAGTATTCCTTGTTGTCAAGAGCACAGAAGATGTCATTAACCACTTCCATCGTGGCAGTGATGCAGCTGTGGCCTGATCTAAAGCCAGACTGTAGAGGATTGAAGGCTTGTGTGTGTATGTGCAGTAGACTGCCACAATATTGCAGTCTATGGGCATGGCACCAAATTTTGGGCCTCATAGACGACTCACTCAGACCGTAGTGGGTCTTCGTATACCTTTTACATTTTTAGCAGCAAGTCTCTTTGGTACACAGGTTGCACAGGTTACTTGGGAAGCAGTGTGTTCCAAGCATCTTGGAGAACTGGCCTCAGTTTTTGTCACATTCTACAAAGTTCTCCCACTATATGCTTATGAAAGAAAAGCCAAAATGGATATAGAGTATTCATTCATACAAACACAAAAATGTATCATTGCAGGTAAACAACTTTGTTGTAAGCTATACGTGCTGTAGCAAAATGTAGTTGACTTCTAGAGTCTAAGTAAAGAGCAGGAAACCTTCATTTAATTAGCTGTAAATGCATTTACAGAGTCTAATTTACTTATAAAGTGGAAGGAGCTTTTTCAATTATTGAATATTACAAGGTTATTAATTAACCACAGTGGAGCTCTGCTGGATTTCATTAGGAGTGAGAATGTAATCTAAACTGAGCAGAGGAATGTCCTTAAATGCAGTTTCAGTAAAAGGAGATAAATGTAAGAAGCTGATGACCTTGTTGTGCTTAGAAAGCAGAAATGAAACAGGAGCCAAACTGCTGCCTGCACGACTGCTCATATTTCTTTATGCCTGAGCACGAGAGAAGGTACACGAGCATCATTCTTATCTGAAGTTACAGAGACTAGTATTCTGTTTGTTTTGATGCATCTATTGAACTGTTTCTATTTGAAATTTTTTCTCCTAAAAAGACAAAGCTTTGTTTGTTTCTTCTTCCTTGAGGGTTTCTGACAGCTGGTAAACATCTGTGTTTGTGTCCTTCTTCTTCTACTCTATTTATTAAAGCCATGCTTAGCATATCCTATACCGCCACCTTCTGACAATACCTCGCAACCTAGTTAATTCGTTCCTAAGCAATTCATGGAAACAAGCCTAACACATATTTTCTTTCTCTTTTCTTGCAACATTACAAAAGTTCACTTGAGGTTCTCTTGACAGTTACATGGCAACACGGCCAGTGTAGCTGATGTGTAAGATGCTTTACAGGCGTGAGGAATCTGTTAACTTTGATCTGGGTAATGTCAGTGACAGAAGCACGAGGTCCCGCTCACTCTTATTCAGACCCACACATACTGTATGTCCTCCAGCGTCCTGTTGCATAGGAGGAACCAGCCATTAGTCCACAGTGGGAGCAGCAGGGCTTGAAATGAAAAGCTGATAATGGCTGTGTTTAAAATGAGACCTGCCAGAGCATCTCACAGCTTGTTACATCTGATGAATGGGCCAGTCTGTTTGGGGACTGCTGGAGACCACTTCATATAATGCATATGGCTCTGTAACAGTAATTCTCTTCATTACATAATAATGATTACATCTATTATTTTACCCGTATTGAATGAGTAAAAGCTGGTTTACTCAAGTAAAACTTATTTTGGGCTGTTCGGTGAGCCTCAGGGCTCCTTAACAGCTCTTCTGAAACACCCTCTGCACTGGCAGTGGATAGTGTCCATGCTGCTGCTGCTGCAGACCTGTTTCACAGCACACATTCTGACTTATTGCAGGACAGGGTTTTCCCTGGCTCAGAATGGGCCTTAGTGGGGTGACTGTAATGACAGCAAGCAGGATTGGTCAGTATACAATCAAAGCAGTGAGTCTATAT